TTGATTTATTTTTACTTACAACATAGCTACAAAAATACTAAATGTTGTAAAACACTGTCAAGGAAATAACACTAACATAATTGTATATCATATATTTAAATTAATAAGTAATATGGAAAATTCATAGAGAAATATTACTCCCCAAAATTTCTACCACAATAATAGTTATATACTAATTGGAAATATATTTTTCTAAGTGCAATATAGTTGTATTTGCAAGTTTAAAATAACATCAAATTAAAAGATGCAAGATGTAGCTGGGCAAGGTGTTCATGCCTATAATCCCAGTAGCACTGGAGACTGAGGATGGAGGATTTAAAGTTCACATCTATTCTCAGCAACAAGACACTAAGCAAATCTGTGAGACCCTGTCTCTGTATCAAATACAAAATAGGGCTGGGTATGAGGCTCAGTTGTCCAGTAGCCATGAGTTTAATTGCTAGTTATACCCACCATAAATCAGCAACCTTGATGGGAAACTTTGAAGAAACCAATATCAATGAGATAGAATAGTAAAGAATAGGACACTAAAATTGATCAAACTACATTCACTCAATGAAACAAATGATAGAAAACTAGCCAACAAATTGACCACATTTAAATTGAGTAGGTTAAAAAGCTGAAAATATATCAGGGAATCTCCAAAACATAAAACAAGAGTGATCAGGATATGTATAACAGTAGAAAACCTCCTTCTCTGAAAATCAGTTTTTTTAGGTCCAAATAATAAAATGAATCCCTTTTAGGTTCATAAGAAAATAATAATTAAGGGAAAAGTTACCAGAAGTAACTAAAAGCAAAGAGAACATGTGAGTATCTAGCATGAAGAGAATAGTTTATCAAAGAACAACAATAGGTTACATCACACACACACACATACACACACACAAAAATAAAAACAACAACAACAAAAAACACACTGGTATTTCTTTTTTTTTCTTTCTTTTTTTTGTGGCATTGGATATTAAACCCATGGCATTATGCATGCAAGCCAAGCACTCTACCAACTGGCTTTATCCCCAGCCCAAGAAACTGGTACTGAGAAATGAATCACAAATACACATACATACTATTCTGAAATTTAAAGCTGCCTGATCAACCTGTTTCTGACACTCAGAAAAGGCAGGAAAGTTTCAATCATGTTTTATAGCAACTTTGTTCAATGTACTCTAGATTACTACTTAATGCTGATCACATTATCATGCTGTAAATTTGAATACATAGATTTAATTTGCAGTAGTTTCTGATTTTGATATGGCTAAAAAATGAATTACTTATTGGAATGAAATAACCAGAAATTATCTCTTACAATTATGGATTATTTAAATATTTCAAAGAATTTCAAGTGATGAAATAGCCATACTACCTATAAAAGCTCTAAGAGAACATTATTTCTTAAATTTTCTCAAATATCATGGATTCTAGTATTCCTTAGCTTGTGACCACAAATGCTTCTCTTATGAGTTGATGGAGACTCAAAACACAGAGGACAGATAACCCAATTTCACAAGAAAGATGGTAGTAACACAGCAGGGAATTACCCTCAAACCCCACAGGATCTGAGAACCATATTATATGATATAGACGACCCTCCAATAGACTGGCTCTTCCAAATATCGTTTGCAAAGATAGAGAAAAAGTCAGTACATTGAACAAAATGAGTGAATAAGTTGTACAAGAGCCACAAATGTGAGTTCAGAACTGGGCATCACAAGACATAGCTCACAAAATCCTGAAAATAAAAGAAAACAATAATGCAGAAAGCACTTTACTCACCAAAGCTCATTTGAGAGAATCAAATTTAGATGAACAGCAGAGGACAGAGGCATATCCAAAGGGATATAACAATATCATTTTTTACTAAATTATTATTATTATTTTCCACAACTATAGAGTTCTAAATCACCTGAATTACTACTTTCTTCATCTTTTGGATGTTCTCGTTACCTTGTACATACAACTCATGCAACACACTGATTTTACCCCTGAACTTATGAACTATCATTTATCTTTTTCTCTATATAAATGTATATGTATGTGTATATTTTTATCCCACATTTTCAAGATTCTTCCATTAATTTTTTTGATACTACGTCCCTGAAATGCGTTTTTGTCATTTCAGTTCAGTACATCTAAATGTTCTATTCCATGTAGTTAGGAAATATGGACCAATGGCAATGTCTTTCTTATTTGACTAATTATCAACTGGAATTAAAGATCAACTTTGGTGCCTCCAGAGGATTTAATTCTCATTCACCTTTCTTATACATAGTGTTTTATTTTTATGCAAGCAGCAGTAATTTTATTTAAAAGAGGAGTAAAAGATTCTGAGATATACATGGTACTTTAGAGGTTCCCAAATTCCTAGGGTGGTGATTCTGACACCACATTACCACTGAAGCATCTTGATTGCATTCCATCTTGGACACTAATATTATGCTTTCAATGAAAGTGATTAATTAGTCATGAATATTGTTCTTTTTCTGCCTTAAATACCCTTGGAATTGTGGGGATTGGTGATAGATTAAGAATCATAATTTTCAACACACTTATCATAAACACTTTTGATAATAAGAGACACCCATATTCTAAGAAGAAGATAGAAGACCATTTACCAAATCCTAAAGAGGTAACAGAATAAACTCTGGGAATAAAATGATAATCTTTCAATAAATTTGTTTCAAAAATATTTTAGTTGGTAATATATTAGTGCATTTGAAATGAGTGATGTAAATGCAATTTCAATTATTAGAGTTGTAATTGAGTATTTCAAAGAGAGTATCAAAAGTTGTGTGCAGTGGTACATGCCTGTAACCCTGGAGTCTTCTGAGGCTGTGAGTGTAAAATTTCTAGTTCAAAGCCAGCCATCCCCAGCAACTTAGTGAGGCTCTAAGAAACTCAGGAAAACACTTTTTATATATAAAAAATAATATTTTATAAAGGGCTGAGGATGTTTCTTACCAGGAAAGGATTTCTTGGTTAGACCTGTAATATGAGAGAGAGAGAGAGAGAGAGAGGGAGGTAATCAGTGACACTTTCAGGGTCAAGAATTTAAACAATTTAAAAATAATAGTGTTGGTCTGGGGATGTGGCTCAAGCGGTAGCGCGCTCGCCTGGCATGCGTGCGACCCGGGTTCGATCCTCAGCACCACATACAAACAAAGATGTTGTGTCCGCCAATAAATAAAAAATATTAAAAAAAAATATTTCAAAAAAAATAAAAATAATAGTGATTTAGTCAATGGAAACGCATCTAGGTTTATTAAATGCTGCTATGGGAAGTTAGTCTGCTCTCAAACATATGTAAGTGAGAGAGAAGTCCTATTTTAAGGTGTCTATAGGAACAAAGAGTAGTTTTGACACAGCTTTTAGTTGACCAAGAGGCCTATTATATTTTGTGATGGAATTATTCCCAGGTGATAGATCCTTAAGCTGTTTGAAATAATGTGTTTTTATCAAGTATTCATAAAACAAGATTAAGACCAAATATAAATCAGGCTTGGAAAAGGGGAAAATGTTCAAATAACAAATATATAAATAAACACATAAACCAATATTAGAGAAGTTAACATTCAGGATATTTATACCATTATATAATCACCAGGAATGTAAAAACATTCCACGAAATGCACTCTAAACTTTGTATAAATGTCATAGTGAATACTGATCTCTAGATTATTGTATTAGCAAATGTTTAGGTTACATATTATATTTACTGAAGTACATCACTGAACAGCAGATGATGTTACCACACATTGTTTTATACTATGAATTTATAGAAATAAGTATATACCTTATAATAATATGAATAAATAGACTTGTGTAAGTAACACAGAACTTTATTAAGAAAGAGAAAAAAAAAACAACAACTGTAATTTAGAGAAATTTTGCAGTGCTTTGCAGAAATAGAAATGTGACATTATTTTCAAAGAAAAACCAGAGGGATGAGGGGATTTTTTTGGGGGAAACTATATTATATGCTTTCTTAATACCAGAAAAAAGTCATTTTTCAGAAGTAATATATACTTTTTTTTTAGAGAGAGAAGGAGGTGGGGGGGAGAGAGAGAGAGAGAGAGGAGAGAGAGAATTTTTTAATATTTATTTTTTAGTTATCGGTGGACACAACATCTTTGTTTGTATGTGGTGCTGAGGATCGAACCTGGGCCGAACGCATGCCAGGTGAGCGCGCTACCGCTTGAACCACATCCCCAGCCCAATATATACTTTAATATAAAAATAAAATATAGCTGTGAATGGTATTACACTTATAATCCCAATGACTTGTGAGGCAGAGGCTGAAGAACCAAAAGTTCAAAGAAAGTGTCAACAACTTAGCAAGTCTGTGATCACCATGTGAAAGTTTCTGTCTCAAAATAAAATAATAAATGGCCTTGGTATATGGCTGTGGCTTAAGGGTATACCACCCCTAGTTCCAGTCCCTAATGTATATCTGTCAAAACTATAATAAGGGATTTGTGCTAAATAGAGTGGCACATGCCTGAATTCCCAAAACTCTAAAGACTCATGCAAGAGGATTGTGAGTTCAATGCAACCCCCACCAAAACGAGTCACTAAGAAACTCAGTGAGAATCTGTCACTAAATAACATATAAAATAATACTGGGGATGTGATTCATTTGTCAGGTGACCCTGTATTCAATCTGAAGCATGAATAAAATGGATTTATATTGAAAATGCCATAGTGCATGCTTCTAATGCCATCTATTTGGGATACTAAGGCAGGAAGATTAAAATTTCAAGGTCAGCCTGAGCCACTTGCTGACAAACTGTCTCTATATAAGATTTTTAAAAAGGCTGGGAATGTTAATGAGTGTAATGGCAGCTTTGGTTTAAATCTCAAGAACCACAAAACAGAGCAGTTATTTATTTTCAAAAAGCTACACAAATAAAAACTTATAATTTGGGCAACATTAAAATATTTTTTTTTTCACTAAACAGTTTAAAGTTGGGCTGTGGTGGTAGATTATTGGTAGGTCACTCACCTGGGACATGAGAGGCCCTTGGTTCCATCCTAAGCACCCTATATCAATAAATAAATAACATAAGGGTATTTTGTCCAGCCACAACTAAATTATAAAATATTTAAAAACAAAATGAAACAAACAAACAAAAAAAAAACATGTAAAGAGAAATGACAAAGTGGGAAAACTAATTACCTCACATAAAATTAAGCATGTTTAATAAAAAAGTAAATGACACTTTTGGTAGTAAAAATGTTCAAAAATTAAAACCTCTCAACATCTTAACAAATTAGAAAAATACAAACTAAGATCAGATACAAAGAAATCACACAGCATTGATCAGGACAAGAAACAAATTATCTTGAATTATAGAAGGAATGCAAATTGCTAATATTCTTGTGTATGTATTTAATGTATAAGATATTCCTCAACCAGTAGCATAGCCTATAGAAATTACTGTGCTTCTGAACCTTGATAATATATAGTTAAATGATAGCATAAGGTTTTGGCTACATTAGCCCATGCAGTTGAAACCAGAAAAATAGGTGCAAAGAGAAGGTACATTCAAAATATATAAATACTAAATTTTGAAAAAAAATAATTTGGGGGGATGAAACACATTTTAAGTTTTATTGAAGTTGCACCCACATTCTCCACAGAAAAGTCTTAACTGGGATTCTCCAAAAATCTTCACCTTGGCTGATTTTAGAACTATCAGCAAAAGAGTTTCTTCAAAAGAATGCAATGTAGATAAACTTCTAATTTTCATGTTTCCCTGTTTTACTCAGCCACTGGCCAGAAAACATCAGCACTCCAGGTTCTGGACACCCCTTTACTGGTTTCTCACAAACATGTATCCAGTACAGTAGTTTGTAAAAATGTATAAGCAAGGCCTCTAGCCTTGAGCTGGGGCTTCACAAAGATGTCTACATGATAATAGAAGTTAACAATTGGTCTCCATGGTAATTAATAGCTGACATGGGAGAAAAGAAAGGGGATAAAAAGCTCTCTTCTTCTCAGGTGCTGTCGTTGAAGGGTTAACTTTTCCAGAACAGTGAAAGAAAAAAATGCTTTTATGTGAACTTCTGTAGACTGTGAACTTCTGAGCCCATCCCCTTACATGCTGGATATAACACTGAAACTACCTGAGTTCAGGGTTTAGGGGATTGATTCATTACAGCAAAAGCTGTGCCCTCTGAACCTGACAGCAGCCAAATAAAACTGTTTACTGCTATTTTTGGTGTCTTGCCTCGTCTATTTCTACAACATCATTATATCCAGTTTAATTGACAGAACAAAATATTACATAAGTATTACATTCAAGTGATATCTATGTAACACATCACATGTATAGAAGCTTTTAAAGACAATATGTGTAACTTAACACAAAACAAAAATTTAAAGAGGACATAAAATGCTCCATTATACACACCCTGTATGTAAATAAAATTCATAATTACAAAGAAAACTATTTATCTCAGTTTAATGTATAATATACCCCATTAAAATTTTTGTATATTTAAATTGGTTTTCTGAAATTTATTTAGGAAAAAAAATATGTAAAATAGCTCAAAACTTTCAATTTTGAAGACCGCATAAAGTTACTATTGTTATGTAACATGAATGTGTATTATGAAACTATACACAATAATACAAAAAATGAATCATAAATTAACCAAATATGAATCCATACATATGTAATTTTTGGCATTGTTAAGAGCAGTAGAAAGGCCTAAAGAAAGCCATCCATATTAAAAATAATATTAGACATGAATGGGGAAATTATCCAATCTAAAGTTGAAATTTGGGACTAGTAGCACAGTTCAATAGTAGAGTGTGTGTGCAGAATGTGCAAGGTACTAGGTACAAAACTTAGAAACACAATAAAAGGAATATATTTAAAGGGGATGATGTTGAAAATAAAGCAGAATATTAAAATTCTGGATTCTGCTTCCATCTATAAGTACAGTTAAGAAAAAGCTACTCATGTTCTGAGTGTCTCTTTAACAAAGTGATAAATGAGTAGAGAGACTTAAATACATTTCACAATTTAGAAAATATCTACCTTCAATCAGAATGAAAAGCTAGGGTACGTGAAATATTAGTCTTGTCTTGAGCAAAGCACTGCATTTGGGACCAAATCCCTATTGGCCAGCATCACCCACAGTAAACAGAAGTATAGGAGAAGTGATATACAATCGTCTAAGCCAGAGAAAAATATGGTAATTTCTAGGAGCCAAAGAAGCTTCTGCAAGTGTTTTATCAGCTGGGTTCAAGGCAGGAGAAATACACACATATCAAAGCTGTTATTTTATCTCAAAAAGACATTTGCCAACATATTTTCACAATTGTTCTTACTGTCAGAAAAGATTCTCACTAGTTTGTATTGTGGATGTAATAGGAAGAAATACAATAAACAACTGGAACCCTGAGTGGGAATTTATCACTTAGTGAGCTCAGCGCCAAGCATGCTTACCCCAGTAGTAAAGCCAGAACTATAAATTGCTCATAAAAGGAGTTTGCTTGTAATTTGAGTTTCTCAACTTGAACGTATTTTGTTTAAGTTACTCTGTCCTGAAGTTTCAAGCTCTGGAAGCAAAGGCGATTGAGCTTATACAAATCTATAGGTTGAAAACCAATGAGTGTACATTGTTTTTCTAGCACCTTTATGGACTATAATACCCAATAGTGGTTCAGAATAGGGGTTAGAGACAAGAAATCTCTGCTTATTCAAAGAAACCTTTGCACAACACTCCTACACTGGCTAATTCACATAAATTGCCTGGAGGATTTAATGCTTGAGGCCAATAGATTTCCTACACCCTCTTCAGGGCTTTTAGAATGGCTTTAGGAAAAATCTGTTAGACAGGGGCAGTGGCAGAAGCCTGTAATCCCAGAGGTTGAGAATTGTCATTTGAAAGACAGTATCTGAATCTTAGCAAGCCTCTAAACAACTTGTTAAAACCTGTCTCAAAATAAAACATAAAAAGGAATGGGGATGTAGTTCAGTTCCCAGTACCAAACCAAACAAAAGCAAAGAAATATCTGAAAGATTACAGGGATGCCAGAATACATATACATGCAAAAGTATTGGTGAAATATAAAATTAATAAATATGTTTTTAAAAAAAGTGTAAAGGTTCTTCAAAAGCTTAGGATGAAAATGACATATATTCCATGAATAATAATTTTGGGTAGCAGAGCAAGGCTGCACATGCCTGTGTTCCCAGTGGCTCAGGAGGATCAGAAAAGATGATCTTAAGTTCAAGACCAGTCTCAGCAATTTTATAAGGTCCTACACAAATGAGTGAGACACTGTCTCAAAAAAGGGGTACAGGTTGAGCTATAGCACAGTGAAAAAGTGCCCATGGGTTAATATTGAGTACTTAAATAAAATGAAAAAATAATAAATAATAATAAAACCGGGTTTAAAAAAATGCCATAAAATCCAGTAATAGTATTTCTGGTTATATATCTAAATTAATTTGGAAACTTTTTTCAAAGAAATAACTGCACTTAAATTTTTATTGTAGCTTTATTCACAGTATTTAATTAAAAATAAAATTTCAGTCAGGCATGGTGGGAATGCCTGTAATCCTAGGGGCTTGGAAGTTTGAGGAAGGAGGATGGGGAGTTCAAAGCAGCCTCAGCAATAGTGAGGCACTAACAAACTGTTTCTAAATAAAATGTAAAATAGGGTTGCTGATGTGGCTAAGTGGTTGAATGCCTCTGAGTTGAATTCCTGGTATGGTCCCCCCAAAATGAACTTCCTTTTAGATGAAAGAAACATCAGATGATTTCTTCCAGCTTCACAGCATCCAACAGATATGCTGAGTTCAGGGCCCCCAAAAGACCACCAGAGACCAAGATTTATGTAAGAAGCAAAGAGCCCTTTATTGGGAGCTAGCTTAGTCCTCTGCACACACAGCAACTGGTGACGCTGAGAGGCCTCAAGCCAGGGTTTGCAGCAGTTTTATACACTCTTCAGGGAAGGCAAGGACTTTACATACATCATAGCAAATCATCACACACCACAGGAAAATCATAAAACAACTCTAAAACATGATTAGCATATTAAGTGGTGGGAAAGAATCTGGAAAGGATTCTGGGTTGGTTCAAAGGGTTGACACACTTAAAAATGATTGGTTTAAACCATGTGGGTGTCACTAGGGGCATACTGCTCTGCTGCAGGTCTTCTGGTTTAGATATTGGTAACCACACCTAGGTGGGTGCTGTCTGGAATTTCAGATATTTTGACATCTTGGCTTATCTTAGGCAATCACCATCTGTGGTTTTTCTGAGAACTGTTTGAGCAGAGTTTTCTGTGGTATTTCCTGACTTTACAACTGCAGTAGGTCAGGGGTTAAGTTTCAGAGCAAAATGAGGTTTCTTAGGTATTTCATAACTACTCCCCTTAGAGGCTACACACTTAGAGTTCAAACTTATCTCTAGAAGGCAAGACTCAAAAACTGATATTTTCTAAATAGGCCAAAAGACTTTTGTATCTTTGGGCACTTTATATCAGACTGTTCTAAAACTAAGGACTGAATAAATATGGGAGGTTGAAATGAGAACACAAAACACAGTACATTCTTCAATGGGGAATTTTAACTCAGACATTGTCATAACTGAAATGACAGTTGGAGATAAAATTAGATTCTCTGCTTCACTGATTCCTGGGTTATTGATTCAATCCAAACAGATATTGAAAAAGTATCAAAGCTACTGGTTAACATTAATGTAAAACAGTGAATCCAGATTTAAACATAGGTAGTTAGTGTAATTAGGTAAATTGGGTCTAATATTTTGTAAGATAAAGAAAATGGAGACCATTATCCAGAAGGGAGTCCAAGAAAGCAGAGCACCTGGGGATATTGAAATGTTAATGTCCCCAAGGCATGTAATGCATCCTAAAGGACTGATAATGAAGTAGCTCCCAGCAAACAGCAAGGTGCTAATCAAACCACCCCAGGCTCTTCCAGACCAGATTACTCCTCCAGATCACCTACATCCCACCTTTTGGCCTCCCCATCGATATTCTACCTCTGCAGGATAGACAAAAACAAAGGACAGGAATGGGGAAGGACTAAAAAAGACCTTAACTATAAAAAAAAGGGAAGACTTCCTCATTCCATGTATTCCAGGTCCCCTTCTTCCTCTGGGAGCAAGTCTTTTCTGTTATCCTTTAGTAAAGCCTTCTACTTTATACTCTACACTGCCTGGGCATGCTTCACTTGTGTCATATTCAACATTCAGGGAAGCAAGAATTCATCACTGTTAAACATTTTTAATAACTTGTTATTAAAAATTAATAACAAGTTATTAAAATATGTACCAGGTTATTTACATGGCTTTTGACCTTCAAATTCACTGTTTAATCTAGCCCTTGTGATTCAACGTTCCTGTAGTTTACAACAAGTCTAATCTCATTATTATTTTCCTCCACACCACCACAAAGATGCTTGCTGGAATGTTTGAAATAATTTTACAGCTCATTTTTATAAAGTGGTCTTACATATAAGGGAAGAAATTTCAATTGGGACAGATTAACTATACTATTTTATTTAAAAGAGTCATTATTTTTAATGTTACCTAATTTTCTAATTTTCCCCTTTCTTCTTATGTGAAACACTCACAAAAATAAAGCAAAATCTTTTAAAACTGCCCTCCAGTTCTTGGAGAAAAAAAAATTACAAATTAGGCATCCCTTTAAAATGAAACATGGGAAAAAAAATAATTGATCATGTTGAAACTGAAGTTTTGAGATGAAACTGAATTTTCCCACTTAACCAGTTTTCTCCAGGATTCTCTCTCACAAAGTTTGAAGAATAAAATCTATGGACACTCAATGAAAATAATAGTTTAAAAAATAAGATTTATTTAAGCAACAGAAAATAGAACTTCACAATGTGGGAGAGGGCATAATAGCAGAAAAACCCATTTTGGTGTGCCAGCATTGAACTATATGTATGGTTTTGAGAAGAGCATGAGGCAAAATCTACTTAAAATAGATATTGAAAAAAGCATTCTCTCTACCACCAGGGTTTATATTTGTCCTTTCTGTATCCCACCCTTCTTCTGGTAACTTCCATCTGCGTTCACCCCAGGGAAAAATAATTTGATTGAAGATATTCCCTCCCACAAGTGAGCCTCAAGATTTTTTACATTTGAAATAGGCCTTCTGTTGCTCATTAACATATCTATCCATTAGCCTCCAGGTGTGGTTGAAAGCTCTCCAGTGTACAGCTGCCTGGTCATTTTAGTATCGTATTTTATCCTCAATCAAGGTGACCAGGGCACCCTGGCTTTCAGAATCTAAAGTGAGATCTGTAAATTTAGAGATTTATTCTCAGACATATGGATAGCTAAACCAGAGTTTTGGATATCAGATAGCTATTCTGGATTTGAGATACTGCTTACCCTAGATTTAGAGAGCTCAGAAGGCATGAGAATGGTGAGTTCCAAGGCATCATTACAACTTACTGGGACCCTAAGCAACCCAGTGTGACCTTGTCTCTAAATAAAAATATAAAAAATGGCTGAGGGTGTGAATCACTAGGTAAATATTTCTGGGATAAATTCCTAGTCACAAACAAACAAACATATATTAAAAAGCCAAAACAACAACAACAACAACAAAAAAAAAAAAAACCCTAGGAGTAGCAAAAACAGGGATTCTTAAAAACCACAGCTTTTCTCATGCAGGAACACAGCCAATGGCATTGGAGTCCTCTCTTGAAAATTATTCCATTCTTCACCACACAATCTGGGTCATGCCAAGCTAGTGGCACACAGACTCACACATAGAAATTCAGGAAGGCCCTGAAAACACTGTACAATGATGGAAAAGAATGCCAGGGGTCTCAAATACTGATCAAAGCTCCACTAGACTATTCAGAGCAAACTAAAGTCTGAGTTGCCACAGAAAGACCTTCTGGCCACCAGACACTGGAGAGAAATATGAGATGTTCCTGACTACCAATTCTGATTTCCACCATTACCAATTCCATTGACTTCAGATAGCCTCCCTACCACGTCTCAAAATATGAATACATACTTACCATTTCCTGGGTTTCAGGATGCTTATTTTTCCCTCAATAGTTTCTTCTGTTCCCGTGTAGTGCAGAAACCTGAATCTCCTGACCTAGGTCTGGAAGTGTTGGGAAAAGTATAAACGGCAGCCATACCCCAGAGAAAAAACCCCAACATGGCACCTAAGCACCTCTTCTTCCTACCTTCTTCTTTTCTGCAGTGGCGCGAAAAGTTCCCGCCCCTGTGAACTCTCCCGCCAGCGCCAATTTCAAATCTCGCTGGCGGGGAACCTTAGCCCTAATGAGAACTAATTCCTGGGCTCTGGAGCTGATATCTGAAAGAACTTGCCAATAAACGGGTTGCCTGCCATTTATCTAAGCCCTACCATCTCCCCCTTAGTTCTATATAAGCACACTGCTTTTTGCAATAAAATTGGAAATCTCCCAGCGAAGTGTCTTTTTGTGGGGAATTCTTTCATTCTGGTGCCCCCTGTGAGGATACGGGTGAGCTCTTTCCAACAAGAGCCCCGTCCCCCGCTCCACCGAGACACTCCGCCCTGGTCTGCTCTTTTCAGACCCCGGCTTCCTGCACTCACCACTGATCTGGCTAGGTAAGGATCCCCTGACCCCGGCTCGCCAACTCCCTTTGGGCTATCGCTGGGTTTGCGACCCTGATCGTCCAGCACACTCCAGATGCCCAGTGGGGGGAGGGAATTCCTCCCACTAAGACCTTTACTGGTTGAAGTGGACCCTCTGGTGATCCATTTCCCTTTGGGGCGTGAGGCTTCTGAGTTTACATGAGAGGCTCTATGGTTTTTTCCTTCCTCCGCTGCCGCTGCCGCTGCCGGCTAGAGTTGCTGTTTCCTGTGGGGCTGCTGTGTCTGGCTGAAGCTGCCTCTCTGCTTGGGGAAAACTGAACTCCGGGCCTGGAACTGCGTTCTGCTGGAGCCGGAGTTCTGTTTTCATTACTGACTTCTTCTGCTGCGGTCGAAAACTTTCCTGACGTCAGGTTGCCCGTGGCTCCGACTCCATTGGGTCTCACAGATCGCACTACACTGGTGACGACCAGGTAGTGCCCTCTGTATTTCCTCACGACGGCTGGTCATTTTGGGGACGCCCACCTGACCCCCGTTCGCCCTGAGCTTCCTGGAAGCCGGTCCAGCCCGGGTTTTCTCTTTGTCTCTCTTGCTTACTCTTGTTCGTTCTCTCTCTCTCTCTCTCTCTCTCTCTCTCTCTCTCTCTCTTCCATCTTTCCCTGTGACTATGGGCACCTCTTCATCTATACCTGAAGCCTCACCTCTCAAATGTTTAATAAAAAATCTGGCCACACTCTCCCTCACACCAGACATCAAGCCCAAACTTTTAATCAAATTCTGTACCCAAGATTGGCCTACATATCCACTGGATAATGGCAATCATTGGCCTCCAGAAGGCTCCTTAGATCCAAACCTCCTCCGGGACCTTTTTAACTATTGCCAGCATCTCAAAAAGTGGAGGGAGATTCCCTACGTTGAAGGTTTTAGCCTTCTCACACAGCACCCTGCTCTCTGCTCCTCCTGCCCTCCCTCTCAGGACCTCCTTGCATGGAAACCCCTCTCTTCCCCTACTTCTACTCCTGACTTCGCAGATTCTTCCTCATTTGACCAAGCAGATGAACCCGCACCTTATCCCCCAGCCCCATCTGCCCCTTCTCTCCCACTATACCCTCCTCTTCCTCTGCCTGATTCCACAGATCCTCAGCCTTCCGTTTCATCCCCCTCCTCTCTGCCCTATTCTGCCTGCTCCACCTCCTCCTCCTCCACAGAGACACTCCCTTCCCCTCCCTCTCCTTCCTGTCCGCCACCTGCCTCTTTCAGTCCTCCTGTTACCAGGTCTAAGGGACTCCTTCCCACCCCCAAGAAAATCGCACACCTTCGTGAGGTAGCTGGTCCCGAGGGTGTCATCAGAGTCCACGTGCCCTTCTCCATGCCGGCCATTACTCAGCTAGAGAGGAAGTTAGGCTCATTCACCACTGACCCCACCACTTACATTCGGGAGTTTCAATGGGTCCTACAAGCATATAGCCTCACTCATCATGACATCTACATGCTCTTGGCCAATACACTTCTCCCCGAGGAAAGGCGACGGGTCTGGGAGCTAGCCCAAGCCCATGCTGATGAAAATCATAGGACCAATCCTAACCACCCCATGGGCCCTCATGCTGTCCCAGAGCAGGATCCCCTATGGGATTACGACACCCCTGAAGGCTTACAGTCTCGTGACCTTTTTACATCCTGCCTCTTGGCGGGCCTTAAAAAGGCCACCCACAAGGCTGTTAACTTTCAAAAGGTGCAGGAGGTCATTCAAAGGAATGAGGAAACACCTTCAGAATTCCTGGATAGACTAACCAAGGCCCTTCAACAGTACACAAACCTCGACCCAGAAACCCCTGATGGCCGTCATGTCTTAATGACATATTTTCTGGCCCAAAGCTACCCTGACATTAAAGCCAAGTTTAAAAAGCTTGAACAGGGCCCTGCTACTCCTCAGACCGAAATCCTCGCTGTCACTTTCAAGGTCTTTCATGGTAGAGAAGATGAAAGTGAAGCCATAGGCAGAGGGCTGAAAATGCCAAATTCCAAATGTTGGCCCAGGTCTTTCAGAGAAGGTCATCACCACGCTGTCCTAATAGGACACCCCCTGGAGCTTGCTTCAAATGTGGTAAGGAGGGACATTGGGCCAGGGATTGTCCTTCGCCGAGGACACCCTCCAACCCCTGCCCAAAATGCCATCAAAGGGGACACTGGGGGGCAGACTGCCCAACAACCCGGAAGGGAGGTTGGTCAGCTGCCCGGCAACCCCAGCCTCTCCTGGGCTTGGCAGAGGAGGATTGACGGAGCCCTGGGCCTTCCCTCCTGACTATTACCATCAAGAAGCAAGAGCCTAGGGTCACCTTCCTGGTGGATGGACGCTTCAATACCTTCCTCTTGGATACTGGTGCCACTTTTTCAGTCTTGAGGGAGTATTGGGGTCCTACCACACCCTCAAAAACTCCTATTGTCAGGGTAGGAGGTAAACAGATTTTCCCTCGAAACCCCCCCCCCCTATCATGTTATATGCAGGGATCCCTTTTGTCCTTCACACACTCCTTTCTTGTTATGAGCCATTGCCCCATTCCCCTTCTGGGAAGGGACATACTCTCATTATTGAAAGTCACCATTCACATATCACCCCACACCTCTCCTACGTCTCATTTCCTCATGATGTTCCTAGGGGCAGATACACCTCCTTCACGCACTCTTTCACAACTATCTAAACCAGTTAACCCTGATGTTTGGAACACAACTACACCCTCTATGGCTAAATGTAGTCCTATTCATATTGTCTTATGGGACCCTTCAAGATATATTAGTCAACCACAATTTCCACTCACAACCACAGCCCTCCTCGGATTAGAACCCATCATCCAGGATTTATTACGAAAGGGGTATCTTAGGCCTACACACTCTCCTTTCAACACCCCCATTCTGGCAGTTAAGAAACCTAACGGGTCATACAGGAGGGTTCAAGACCTTCGCCTTGTCAACTCCTCTGTGGTCCCCATCCACCCGCTAGTGCCCAACCCTTACACCATCCTCTCTCAGATCCCTGCTACTACTACCCACTTCTCGGTCCTAGATTTAAAAGATGCATTCTTTTCTATTCCCTTGTCCTCAGAATCTCAGGATATCTTTGCTTTTACGTGGACTGACCCTCACACCCTCCATTCTCGTCAGCTTACCTGGACTGTCCTCCCACAGGGATTCAGGGATAGCCCCCATCTCTTTGGCCAAGTTCTTGCCCAGGACCTCACATCCTTTCACCCCACCTGTCCTGACTCTACTCTCCTTCAATATGTCGATGACCTTCTTCTATGTAGTCCCTCTTGGGAACACTCTCAATCCCACACTGCCCAGCTTCTCAATTTCCTAGCAGATAAGGAATATAGGATGTCTCCCCACAAGGCCCAGGTTTCCCAGTCTTCTGTCACCTATCTTGGTTTTCGTCTTACACCTGGGAAAAAGGAAATAACACTGGATAGGAGGCAACTCCTCTCTAATCTTCCAGTGCCCCATACAAAAGCCTAAATACTATCATTCCTAGGACTAGCAGGTTATTTTAGGGCCTGGATCCCAAATTATTCTCTTCTAGCCAAACCCCTGTATGACCTAGCAAAGGGACCCCCTAGTGAATCTCTTGCCTCCTCCCCCAACTACCACTTCCGCAGGCTTCAGCAACTCCTCCTAAAGACACCCGCCCTTCACCTTCCTGATCTTTCAAGACCATTTCATCTATATGTCCATGAAAAAGGGGGACAAGCACTTGGGGTCTTAGGTCAAAACTATGGGCCTACATTTGCACCTGTGGCATATTTGTCCAAACAACTAGACCCTACCATCCGTGGGTGGGCCCCTTGCTTAAGAGCTCTGGCTGCTGGACAAATTTTACACAAAGAAGCCTCTAAGCTGACTTTTGGGGCCCCTTTAACTATCCACTCCCCACATCACTTGAAGGATCTTTTAGCTTATAAGGGCCTTCAAACCCTTCCTCCATCCAGAGTTCTGTCACTCCTCACTTCCTTTCTGGAAAACCCTAATATTACTTTCCTCCCCTGCTCTGCACTGAACCCTGCCTCACTGCTCCCAATGACTCCCACGTCTAACACACCAACTCATAATTGCTTGGAAACCTTAGATGATTTCCTCCCCTGTCATTCTTCCATTTCTGAGGGACCACTCACCAAGCCTGACCTTATCTGGTTCACTGACTGCAGTTCCTTTAGGCAGAATGGCACTCATTACTCTGGATATGCTGTAGTTTCAGCCACTGAGATTATAGAGGCCAAAGCTCTGCCTTCAGGAACTACCAACCAGCAGGCTGAACTTATAGCAGCCACTCGTGCCTGCCTTCTAGCACAAGGCAAATCCCTCACCCTTTATACTGACTCAAAATATGTCTTCCATATCTTATTATCTCATGCTGCAATATGGAAGGAGTGAGGCCTTCTTACCACCAAAGGTAATGTGATCACTAATTCGGCTCTTATAACCAATCTGAAAGAGGCCTCCCACTTACCCACCCAGTTGGGAGTTGTCCATTGTAGGTCCCATCAGAAGGATGGCTCTCTCATCACTGAGGGCAATGCCAAAGCTGACTAGGCAGCACGAATGGCTGCTACCACTTCCAATTATGGCCCCCCTGGAGGACATATAATGGCCACTTTAGACAGCTCATCTGAAGCTCCTACTTCTTCCAGTAAGAACAAGGATCTTTTCAAGTTCCTTCATACTCTATTCCATTTCAATTCTCAGTCTTTAACCCTCTTTTTACAGAGCTTCTTCTCCCTCACCCCCTCTGACAAAGCCATGCTCCAAAATATAGCCTCTAATTGTCAGATCTGTCAGCGGACCAACCCTCATACTCCTTTAAGGACCAAAACTTTCCCTTCCCACCAAGCCTGGGGACACATTCCCACTGCTGACTGGCAGGTAGACTTCACCAACATGCCCACAGTATGGTGCACTAAATACCTCCTTGTCTTTGTGGACACTTTCTCTGGTTGGGTTGAGGCATTCCCCACTTCCAATAAAAAGGCTTCCACTGTAGCTTCAATCTTACTGACAGACATTATCCCCAGGTTTGGTATGCCCACTTCCTTACAATCTGACAATGGCCCTGAGTTTATTTCTAGGATCACACAAAAGGTCTCTCAATCCCTCTCCTTCAAGTGGCATTTCCACTGTCCATATCGCCCCCAGGCTTCAGGGAAAGTGGAAAGGGTAAATCGTACTCTAAAGGAAGTCCTTACCAA